TGAATGAAGAAGAGCAGACCTATTAGCAAGAAAGAGATGACATGTATAAGTTCTGTGTCATGCAATTTGGCTTACATAACACTTCCACCACTTTCAAAAGGCTGACAGAGGTTACACTGAAGATACTGCAATTTGAGAGATGTCTGATATACATCAATGATGTTTTGGTGTTTGTTTGAACTTTCAAGATTGCATTTGAGAATCTTAGATGGTATTCCAGTGATAAATAAAGCAGGCTTCAAACTAAAACCAGGAAGTTCTCATTCATGAGCAGAGAAGTGGAGTTTCCTGGTTAAAATGTAGGGAAAGATGAAGTCTCTATGGGCCTGGGAAAGACGGCCACAGTGAGAGATTGGCCTCAACTGCACAAAGAGGGAGAAGTCTTCAGTTTACTCTCTCTTGCATTATACTATAAATGATTTGTGGCCAATTTTTCCAAGATAGCAGCACCACTGTCTATTCTCAATAAAGTTAAGATGCACTTTGAATGGACCATGGAATGTGACCAAGCATTCTGATCAATAAAGTTTGGAATGCTCCAGTGCTAGCCTATCCACAAGACAACTACTCCCTGTCAGACACTGATGCTAGTTATAAGCTACGACAGTATCTGACAATGTATAATGGTAATGTATGTATATAGCAATATATAGGTATATAAAAAAATAAATGTGTGTAGTCTTGTACACATATATGAACATTACATAAATTAATTCATAGATGTTACATAACATGACTGAATCAATTACACAAAGAACACAACAGTGGGCAACAAGGGCATATGTACAAAGAATTCAATCTCAATGCTAAGAACTGATTTAGTATGAGGTTAACCCTTTCACAATGGGTTTGTGCATTTAACACGACCTTGTAATCAACATGTAACTATGGTGGTATATATATATACTATAACTCTGAATTTACTTAATGTATCGTCCCAAAATTTGGTAACCTTTCAATAAATATTAAAAGTCTTTTGTAACCAACAACAACAAAAAAAAAAGAATTTATAAATAAATATTTTTACAATTTTGTCTGTAATACTTTGGAGTCAGAGTACTGACTGCTCCAAGTGCAAAGTGATTTTTGTGTCAAGAATAAAAATACTTTTCTCAATCTGAAAATTTTCAAATTTCATTTGCATAATCCTTATAACCACTTAAATAAATACTAGATTTTTTTCAGAAAACTTGTACTTTATCTGTTATTTTTCTTACTATAACTCTAAGAAAGACAATGAAAGTGTTGGTGAAGGCTAATGATTAAAGGTAGTGGTTGCCATTGCTTAACCCAAGTAAGCTGGAGTGGAACCTACTGCAGTCACAAACCCCATTTCTTTCTTATTGGAAATGAAAGTTGTCTAAATGACAACCAGATTAGGGAAGGTAAAATGAGGACAGCTGTTTGGAAGGGGGAACAGAGGGCAGCATTGCTACAAGCAGTTGGTCAATAGGAGAGACTCAGAAGCCTGAGAGAGTTCTAAGCTTCTAAGAATACACATAGCATGCATACACATGAAGCCATAGAAATGTCATCTGACCAATGGCTGGTATTAAAGTCCATGGTTATAAACACACGTTATGACCCTCTTTAATCTATGTATTTACTGAATGTCTTACCAATTAAAATTCATCTGACCTTATACTTGAATCTGGATTTCTAATATTTAACCCTTTCCATGTCAGTGTACTGTATTTTGTCACGTTTCTACTTTTATTAATACTTTCATTACTGCCTTGTTGGGTTACACTGACCACATGACCCCAAAGTGACCATTAGTTTCCATACAATAACTTCTAACATTTTCTGTATCTTCACAAAAGTTTTCAAGCTTTTAGTAAAATTACAAATCTTTTTGTAAACAAAAAAATCAGAATTTTTAATTAAATATTCTTACTAAAACTTTGTCCATGAACATATGGAGTCAGAGTGTTGACTGCTCTGAGTGTCAAGGGATTTTCATGTTAAGAATAAAAATGCTTTTCTTCATCTGAAAATTTTCAAATTTCATTTGCATAATCTCCTGAATAAATATCAAACATTTTTTTCATGAAAATGTTATATTTCATCTGTTATTTTCCCTGACTGACCTCATAATCACCATTAAGTTTTAAAGACTGAAAAATGTGAAATAACGTGAGTAGTGCTTTTCTATCTTTTTTTTAGTATTGACCATGAAGTTCCTATGTTTATTTTACTATACTGGCTAAAGTCAAAACTTGCTGAACATAAAGTAATGAATCACTGCTCATACCATTAGACTGTTTACATGACACCATAATACAAAACCATTGACAGCATATAGTTTATTGAAATCCCAGCTCAGAAAACATAATGTTAGAGGATTTATTGGCTTGTTTACAGTACAGTGGTTGCAATGAGAAATCATCCAAAGTAATAAAAATGCTAGAAAATGTTTATGGTATGGCTCTGTATAAGGTCTGGGGCAATCCAATAAACTTGGTAGGACTTTGGATGTTAATGTTAGTTCTTAATGGTTTGTTATTTTTCTTAAAACATAGAACAATAAATAAAAAATATATTGAAAAACAATGATATCTAGAATTTATGATGTTACCAAATTGATTTGTACTTGCATGTCCAGCTTGCTAAGCCTTTGCTATAAAGCTTGTTTATTCCCTCAAGTGGAGGAGGAAGACAGATTATTTTTTGCTCATTTCAAAGATTAATTTTAGAAAACCAAAAAATTATTAAATTACTGTACTGGTACACATAAAACTGCTGTAATTTATCTGGCTTTCTAGCTAAGCTATATGTGGGTTAAAAAAATTTTATTTCTATTCACAGAATGACTTATTCAACAGACTTCACTATTTCCAGTAAAATTACAAGTTTCCCATTCAAAACAATTATAATTTATGAAGCTTGGAATGTGCTCTTTCTATTGGATGTTACATGTACTTAAGAGAAGCAGGCTTGAGTAGACAAGAGGTTTCAAAGGAATGGAGAAGTGGGTGGGGCTACCCTGATAGGTTTGCAAAATATATTGATATATCAAGAAATCAAAAAGGTGGGAGGTTCTTATTTTATATTCTAGCTTGTAAATGTCTGAAATTTGAGTTTCTAATTTGTTAACCATTACAAACATTGTATAATAGGTGTAATAAAATATAAACTGAGCAATAAGATAAGAAGACATGAGATATAACACATAAAAAAAGCATATTTAGCATTTTTCTAAATATTTTCTTTCAAATTAAGAAAATAAAGCATATATAATATTAAAATTTGAAATTAACTCTAAAATGTCATGACATGTACCCTTTGACTTGTCTGTAGAGAGAGGGTTAAAATGTATTTTCATATTTGATATTGTTGCGTCATCGAGTCACATGACTACTGTGACGCAACGTTTCTAGTACTATCATGTACTTTGGCGAATGTTCTAGTTCTTACTACATATAGGGTAGGCTGGTATATAAAAGAGGGGAATGTAATGTCTGGGTAGATAGTGAGTAACTGAACTGCAGTCAGAAGTATTGTTGACGTTCGTTGATTAGCGTTTGTTTTAACGCGATTGTTGAAGTTGAGTGTATCGGTAAAGTTATATTCAAAAAGAATAAATCAGTTTTATTAAAAAAGGACTTGTGTCGCTTAAGTTTCGTCGGAACGAAGTTACGGAAGCTTAATTAACAAACGGAGA